CCCGCAACAGTGACGTGGTGTGTGTGTTAGTGGTGTGATGTCAGGATTAAATTTGCTAATTATCCAGGGTCTCACATAAACCATGATGAAAAATAATAAATATCAATAATAATAAAACGTACAAATAAACTAAATGAAAAGATCATCAGTAAAAACAAGTCAACTTTCTTAGCTGTAAAAATAATTATCCAATGCTGGGTCTCCACCGAAGTTGACATTTTCCTCACTGAAACTGCAGCAGCAGCAGCAACGCCGCACTGAAAATGTAAACCGTGAAGCGCATGTCAGCGCGGCTCGCGAACGCGCCGCCAGTGGGAGACTGCGCTACCGTAACCGGTGGAGACTGAACGGCGTCAGGACCGGGAGGCTCCTGGTACGGCGGCGGAGGCGGCTGGTTGAGGTTCGGTGGCAAGCCGGAGCCGTGCTGGACATCGATTTCGAAGGCCAAGCCGAGCTGGCACTGCAAGCCGTCGCTGGAGTCGGAGAAAAAGTAGTTTGGTCCAACAATTGTCAACGGCACGGCGATGGTCAACGATTCGCCGAAACCACTGCTACCGCTGGCGTACACGAAGGTAACATTGTCGGTATCGTCAGCGGTGCAGTTCAGATAGGTCGTCTTGTTGTGAGTCTGAACCACCGTTTGGTTGGAGTTCGTATTGAAAACTAAAAATTAACCACACAAAAAAGCAAGAACACAAAAAGTTGAATTAGGTTTTCCCGATTGACTTCCTAGAAAGTTGAAACTCGCATTCGATGGATTTAATTTCAATTCATTTGCGTCCGTTTTGGGGGCAATAGAACAGTATAACTTAATTGTGTTTAACGCGTTCGTGTTCTAAATGTACAATGATAATGTAATGAAAAGAAAAGTAGAGATTGAGGTTTTTTACTGAGATAATCGCCAAGGTCGAAGGTTTGATTCGAAGCCCAGGAAGTGTAGTTAGTGGCTGTTGTATTGGTAGTGGAGTTGAAGGACCACCCGGCGGCGCCGCCAACGGTGTGGTTGTGGTAGCCAGTTGTGGCAGCGGAGACGGCGGTGACGAAGAGGGCGAAGACCGCGAGTTGCGCCGCGATAGGTGTCGCCATTGACGGTGATGGGTGGCGATTAGTGTCAGAAGAGGTGTTTTAGTGACTATTGAGTTGTATGATGCTTTGTGTAATTTATTAATTTCTGAAAATAAAATATCCGTAAAAACAATTCTCTAAATTCCATGAAACCGCGTACAACTGGTACAACTGGAGGCACTAATGTATATGTCAAATGTTTAATTTTTCTTTTTTAGGATGTATAAATTATCTAGGACGTTTAATCTTTAAACTAAAATATCACTACAAATTTTAAAGATAAATTTAATTTAATTAAAAAATCTTATTAAAAATGGCCAAAAATATTCTATTTAAGAAGAGCAGGTGCTTACCACGTAGCTTCTATTTAAGATATCAGTTTTCATTTTCTTTGTTGAAAATTATATCAATATTTGATATTTTTTATTCGAAGGAAAATACACCTGAAACTCAACTTGAATTAAAAATTAGAGTTATTTTTTAATTTTCATTAAATTTAACTTAACTAGTTATGTATCACCCAAATACACACTTAGAACTGAAAAACAAATGAGAATTATCATATATATATTTGAATAATAATTAGAAATAAGTTACTTGTCCATAAAACTAATATTTTAAAATATACTTAACAACTTACAAATAATGCAATAATTAAAAAGAACAAAAATTTATAATTGAAAAAAGAAAAGAAAAAGTAATAAATGAAAGTGAAGTCATCGAATAAAGTTATTAAGCATCAAATAAAAAAAAATCAAACAAAGCAATGATAAAAAAAATTTAGCCACAATTGTGTGTACATATGCTAAGACATTATTACTTCCACACTAAACATAAGATGCTTTGCATTACTATTTTAACTTTCAATATTTTCCTTTCTTTACAAAAAAAAAAAATAAAAATGACCGAAACACTCAAAATAAGTTGTCGAGTGATTCGTCTAGCTAAAAAAACATTAGTCCCAAATCTCTTCATTAGAGATTTTGACAATGTAAGAAATTTCAGTAGGGTCAGCCATTTCACCCCGTGGAGAGGGATCGATGATATTAATGCCAAGTTCATCGCATCTTTTGCGATATTGTCTTGTCAAAGGATTATTCCACGTAACAGAGTCTATGGCAGGTGCAACGTAAAATGGCTTGTTAGGGTCCCAACCTCGCACAACTTCGGTCAAAGAATTGTCACATATCCCTTGCGCAATCTGCAACACAATAGGTGAAACAACAAATTCCCAATGTTAAAAGAACTTAGCTTAAACTGTAAAAGAAAAACTGAGACTAAAACCAGAATGTTAAAGTCTCATAAAAAAACTTCAATTCATGAACAACATAACAACAACTACTTAAACATTGTACGTAAGTTTTTCCCTAATCTCATCGAACTGAATGGTGTTGTGTGAGCTAGACAACCTCTGCATAATTTTGTTGTTGCAGTAAATGATTCAGTTGGCTTGACACATAGCTAAGTTTATTGGTTTGATTACCTTGGCAAGGGTATTTGCAGACAATGGAGCAATGACAAAGACATCAGCCCATTCCAGATGATGAGAAGCAGTTTTCCTAGGATTAAAATAAACTGGACGGGGAGTTTGTGAAACTTCAATAAAAGGTATCGAGGTTCGTGTCATAACAACTTCTATGCTTGCCCATCTCCTAAAAATATGACAAAGAAGCGCAAATTTTGCAGCATCAGTGCACCCGCAAGAACCGAGCAGAATCCGAGGCCTTCTCGGCCTAACAGCACACCTTTGAGAAGACTGTGGAATATTACTCTCAGGATTTGGGTCACTCATCATCCACAGATTTCAGCAATTCCACTTTGTTCTGATGAATTTGTCAACGTGTAACCATACTTCAGTTTTCATTTATCAGTTATTACTCTCATTTGAGCCTCTGGCCCATGGGTTGACCATGACCCCTTCTAAAATCAAGTCCCAATTTTCTAGCCCATTTAATAGGGGCTTTTTAAAAGCCCAACCCCTAAAGCCCCACATAAAGTGGGCTGGGGTAGGGTTAAGATGAGTGCTTCATCCTACACCTCCAACATCTCATCCTACACCTTCAAAAATTCCATTTTTAACCTTCTGACATCCTGCACCTCTAATTTTTAACTTTTTTCTCTTTCTTATTAAAGATATTTTAATAACTATCTTTTTATTTTCTTCTCTTTTTTATTAAAGACACTCTACACCACCTTAAAATTAATTCTAATTTAATTTAAAATTTAAATATTATTTAATATAATTTTATATTTTAATAATTATTAAAATATGATTTATATTATAATAATAGCTATATTAAAAAATTAAAAATCAGTTTTGTTTTTTATTTAAAATTTAAT